ATGTTCAGCTTGCTGTTCATTTTAGGGATGAATAAAAAATACCCAATGCATGTTCCTTGAAAAATTTGAAATCGGTTGTAGGAACACAGGTACACAAGCGTGCAAAGAGAGTTGTGTCTGATAGCCTAGGGCTGGTCAATTTATCAGTCAGACTACTGGATTATATCCTTTGCTTGCCCAAATGGCAAGTCAAGTTTTTTGGGAAAATTTAATTTAAGGAATCCAAGTTACAGAAGTTGTGAAAGTCAGAGTGAAATTAATCTATCAATAGTGCAAGATGGAGGTTGGGGGTGAGGTTAGCAAGCGAAGCGAGCGAGAAGAATAGAGAGACTGTAGACATCTTTGGAAAAAAGTGGACTTCCTAGGCTACTTCCCCTGTTATCGCCTTGTTACTGACAGCTCTGCCTCTTGACCAATTAAATTTTGGCGGTAAATTGCTTGTTTAATTGATTACAAGTACCAGTTAACCAACAACGACACGTACGTGCATTCTGGTGAGCATGTCTTCTCTGACAACTTCTTCATCTCCCCCCCCCNGTGCATTCAGGTGTTGAGAATGTCGTCCCAGACGACTTCTTCAACTCCATAAGAAAGCTGATAAAAGGGGGAAAAAGCCAAAATCAAGTGGTCCTTCCGATTTTTGTAGAATATGCACTTATTCTTTTGCTATTCGCTTGGGGATCTTGGCCAGACATCTTACATATCTGCGGGAAATTTATTCCAAAGGTGTTACATGGTGTGGCACTCGTCAACTACAATGAGCAGAGAATCTCTGTTCTATAACATGTTTTAAAATGTTGCATACAAAATCTCTTCAGCTGTTTTCCGAAAACAAGCTTGTATTTCGCTTCTCCAATCAACAGAAGCAGTTGTCCTTAGTTGACAAAAACGATGTAAGGAATCCTAAGCTCTTCCATCTATTCTATTTGATCTTTCATGATGCTTTTGAGTGGCAAAACAATGAGAACAACAATATTCACACCATTTGCATTTCTTTTGCTGTTGCGCAGAGTTGATACATCAGACTTTCTTCAAAGCTGGTCAGCAAAATTGCAACAATGTCTTTTGACTGAAGAAGATGAACAGTAGCCTCTTTCTGTTCACCTTTGAGTGAAGAAATGTTGAAATTTCTCTTAACAGTATTCTATTTTAAAAATAACCGCTTCAATACAAATCATGGCATGTGTCAGTGATGACAATAATTATTGTTGCAAGCCGCAAAAACAGTCTGGACCCAATCATGATCAGCCATTGTCAAGGTGATGACACTATTGTTGCCTTTCAACCAATGGGAATTTTTTGTTTCTGGAGAAACGGGGAATTCACTTTTTCCAAAGATGTCTACAGTCTCTCTATATATGTCAGTCCCCACCCCTACCCAGTCAAGTCTTCTGCTTTGCACTGGCGTCCAGATCTCTTGTGATTCTATCTGCACGTTCAATGATTGAATAAAAACAGAGGGCTGTGAACAGTCTACACTGCCAAAATATATCTATCAACATGTGAAATTCCTGACACCACCTACAATATTACAGTTGGTATTGACAACCTTACCATCAGGTCTTACACATTGAACTCAGAACATGTACATACCACACTCTTGTGGGACTATCCTGAACAATTCCTCCACCAGTTTGTCACACTGATCCTTCCAACTGAACTGCTGCATGTATGCTTCTCTCAGTTTCACAGCTTCTGCATGGCGGATTTCTGAGGTCTTTGCTCTGATCTGCTTTATCCTGTCAGCCCACACCTCAGGGTCATCAGAAGCCACAACACTGCTATTTCTAAGTGGTATATTCTTAAGGGCAATACCAAGTCCGCTGTATTCACTTACGAGAACAGGTAAGTTTGCTGAAATAGCAAGAAGACCACTGATTCCAAAACCTTCATTTCTTGATGGTTTAATAGCAAGATCTGCTTCACAGAGCATTTTGCGCCAATCGTCATGGCTATCAGACACTCTTACAGTGAGTTGACGAGAGTCAAGGCCCTCACCGAGTAAGGCCTTTCTTACCTCTTCTGGATTGTCGCAGGGCTTCACATTAACTGTAAGGTGATAAGATGCTGATGGTGTATTTAGTAACTTGATTGCTTTAGCTGCAATGTCACATCCTTTGAGTTTAAAATATTTTGATGAGCCACTCAACAAAACATGAAATGTACTCAAATCTCCATACAACTGACGAACACCACTTAGGTCTTCAAAAACACCCGGTGTTAAGTCAAAGACATGCTTTTCAGAGGAGCGCAGAGCACGTTTGCAAGTGTCTGCAACTTTTGGACCAACTGTAATTATAAAATCAGCCTTTTCACACAATGTCTGAAGTCTAGGTTGTCCTTCATAAAGTTCTTCCCAATGACTGTCTGTGTGTACAACCTGCACCCACTTACATTTCTTGGCTTCCTTTATACTTTGCGCCTGCCGCCCAAGGTCTTGCCCATGAGCATGAATCAATAGAATGTCAATTTCAAGACTCTCAGGGGGGAAAGAGAGCAGCTCTGATGAGGAAAATCCTGTGTGATCCTTTGCATCAACAAGCTCAATATTTAAACTCCTGGCATGTTCTCTCTGTTGATGGGTGTTTTTAGGTACAAATCCTGTCACGTTCAATCTGGTATTCCTGCCTAATTCAATTACTAGTTGCCCATTCACAGTTCTGTTCCAACCCTCATCATCTGAGGCCAGAGTTATGTTCAATTTGGTTTCATTTCTTGACTTTGAACCTGCAACATTCATAGATAAAATATGCAGAAAATTACACATACTACATTATACTTTAAATCATTCTAATTTTGAAGTGCACTCCTTAAGTATACCTTTGTCAGCTACTGTAATATCTCATTAAGACAAAATGTTCAAACTATTTCAATAATTTCTAGGAATCAGAGACCAGAGCCAGATGGCTTATCAGTGCTCACACTAATATTTGGTTTCCGAAGTAAGACGAGGAGCGTATTGTCACAACTGCTGCATGGCATGCTAGCCCAATGCAGGGTACCCATTCATACTTCTTTAAGAGTCACTGAAAAAGAAATTAAAGTTCCCTGTCTAAGAACCCAACTCCACGACTCTGAAGGCATGCATACCTTTAGTCCTGGAATGCTCAAGTCCAACACAGTGACTGTTAGGCCAACATCCTACACATGTACATTGAGGTTCCAGTTCGTGAACAGAAACCGAAGTTAAACAAGCAGTCAGACTCAATACGTGCAAAAGTATTTATTTAAACATATACCGCATGCACTGTCATGTCAAACACCAATGACAACGAAACTCTTATTATTCTACTGTACTCTATCAACTTTATTTGTATTTAATCTCGTAACTACAGCTAACACCTCTACTTGATAATGGAGTCAAGATGACTTCGAAACTTTGTGGTTTTATTCTTTTAATATTCATCATCAAATGTATTTCCAAATGTTCTCTGATTCAAATTTATGTTGTCAAATTTATGTTGTATCAGGGCTCCATTTAAATTGAATGCCCTAGAATAATTATTGATTTAAATAATTATACCAACAAGATATACAATAAATAAAATTAGATAATCAAATAATTTGTATAGCTCTGGTTTTACACCTCTTCTTCTGATGTTTGGTGAAAAGTATTCCTATATGACTGGTAATTAGCCGAGAAATTCACAGTTATGTGAATGTGCCCATACTTTCTCTGTCATAGTGTTCCCATACATGCTCTGTAATTCAACAAATGATTTTTTTCCACTGTTCGCAGCTTGAGTATTAGAGCTACAGATTTGAAATATAGCAAACATCATCTCTGTATCAATGAGCTTCTCAATATTCAAACACTGAGTTTATGCTGGGTTCAGAGACCGTTGCGTTGTCGTCACTTCGATTTGTATTAAGGTCGACTACTGGTCAAGGTTTACAAATGACCGGCAGTCCGACACTTCTGCAAAATTTAAAGAATTAAAGGAACTGATCATAACCATGAGTTTGTGACAACATGACAAGCAACAGCTTATTAAGCACTAAGAGTAGCAAGAAAGAATCAGTTAAAACCAGAGATAGTGAGATAGCATAGCAGCGTGCCCTTGTTAACAAAATGACGGCTGCTTCTTGGCGTTTTCAAAGTGTCTGTAAAGAAGATTTACATGTAGGTAAAGTTTTGAGCGAATAGTAGATTTATACCAAAACAATTAGATTGAGCTCAAGATTTCTATGCGTGATAGTTTAGTTAACTCGGGCTGTGCCCTCGTCAACTATCA